TCACTGATTAAAGGTCTCTGAAAGCAGGACTGCATGTGTGTGTGGGCATGTCAGATGGTATCTGATGCCTATGAAATGATTTTTCTCCAGTGCTTGTTCCTGTAATCCTCGCCTCCTCATCAAAGTGGATTTAGTGACTGTGTTTTGGGGTTTGGTCTTTCCTGAGCGATGTCACGCTTGAGATCAGCTCACTAATGCTGGGCGTTTAGTTAGCTTTGGCTCAAAACACAAGTGTGTCAGTGTGTGTGAGTGATTTTACTGTGGGTTTTAAGTGGTGTTTGCTAAAACATCATTGTTGTGCCTACTTAAAGGGATAGTTGAGCCAAAAATGAAAATTCTGTCATCATTTGCTCATTTACATTTATGCATTTTCATTTATCTTATCCTCTCATGTTTTTCCAAATCTGACTTTCTTTCTTCTCTGAAACATAAAAATAATATTTATTAATTTAAATTGTATGGTGAACTATCCTTTTAAGGATTTGAACAAACCCCAAACAACTTTGGCAAGTAATTGTCTTGCACTTAATCTCTTACAATCTCTTGGTGTTTATATGTATATATATATATATATATATATATATATATATATATATATATATATATATATATATATATATATATATATATATATATATATATATATATATATATATATATATATATATATATATATATATATATATACTATTGATTTAGATTTAGATTTTATTTTTATATTTTTATATATTTTATATTTTTATTTTTATATATTTTAGTTTTCATTTGTTAGTTTTAGTAATTAATGTTTTTTTGTCATTTTTATTATTTTTTAAATTCTATTTATCTTCATTTTTCAGTTTTAGTTTTCAGTTATTTGCCAAGGCAACATTTATAATTTTCATTTTAAGGTTTTTAAAAAAAAAATATTCCAGTTTAATTTGAATTAATCAAACTGATTTTTAATAGTTTTGAGTTCAATTTTAGTTAACAATAACAACACAGTCAACAGTTTTCACTCTAATTTTGGTTCAGGTTTTCTAATTTTGTTACATCCTTTTGTCAAGGCTACTAGTTTTTGTTTTGTATTTCTACTTAGCTTTATTTTTATTTCAGTTAGTTGCCAAGCATTATTTCTAATTTCTAATGTTTTTTTTCATGTAATATTTATATTTTTTCAGCTTTATTTCAATTAATGAAAACTAATTTTAATAGTTTTTGTTTTAGTTTATTCAACAATAACAACTCTGACAACAACCACACAAATTTGCCATAACAAGTACTTCGCAATGCCCTAGCAACCAAGGTTATTTTCGTAAACGAAAACTAAAACTAAGATGAAAACGATTGATCAAAAAAGATTTTCGTAAACTGAAATAAAATAAAAATGTCAAAATAAATGAAAAACTAAAACGAAATGAAACTAACAATAGTTATTGAAAAACGAACTGAAATAAAATAATAATTATCAAAAATAAATAATCGTTTTCGTATAATCATTACGTTGGTGCATCATGCGTGTGAGGTTATCTGATGGAGAGACGCAAAGCAGTTTAAAGCTAATTCTGCACGGGTTCTGTTTGGTAAACTCGCACTAGCAATACGTAACAGAACACCCGACCCGTTACCCGACAGCAGCACTGATTTAATTCTGAACCCAACCCGAAAGCGCATCCTTTCTGTAAACAATGAAATAGGCTAAATAAAAAGAACATATTTAAATATAATCCTTTACTGGTAAATTTTCTCTCCTTAAACTCTGCAGTATATACATGGCCATTGGTTAGTCTATAGAAGCATTAAAAATAAAACTTATAAAATGAAATTATATAGGTTAAAAGCTACAGAAAGCAAGCAAAAAGCGCTCCCTAAGCTGTCATTGACTTCAGCTGCAGTGCGAATGGCTAATGCACAATGCTGCAAATTTGAATTGTAAATAGAAATCTTCAGACTACAGATCGTGAACACGAATAAGCACGGGGCAGTCTGAAGGCAGCTTCAGCGGGTATTGTATTGAGTCTAAATAGCTAGTCTTGGCTTTTGGACCCGCAGTCTGCCCGTGACTACTGATTTCCTGACCCGCAACATGGAGTCAACCGCGTGCAGGACTCAGATTTAAAACGCACTGTGAAATGTATGATCAGGTAAGGGACGATTGATGCATTGGTTGAGAGGGAAATTTACCCACCTGCCATGCATATCACCACATAGGCTATTGTAAGACGTATAATGTTTTGTAATGAATCTTTGCAAATCGCCTTTCCTAATAATGTGCTAATTTACAAGTTTCACGATGAATGCGGCTAAAATAAACAGTCTCGCTGAGAGCAGCTCGGAAGAGAGGGGCGGGGTCAGCAGAGCTCATTAACATTTAAAGGAAAATGCTACAAAAACGGCTTGATCTGAAAAGAGCTGTTTTTGACAGGGTAAAAAAGGTGTTTTTTACACTACCATTGAGAAATTTTAACCAAACTATGTTACAGACTTTTCATTAAGACCCTAAAGCATCATATCAACTTGTGGAAAATGGGCATCCTATGACCCCTTTAAAATAAACGGGGTGGAAAGATATTGAGACTCCATCGTAATTATTGAATTTCATTAGTCCCAGTAATGATTTATGTGTGGCTGTTCCCGGGAAAGTGAGCAAGACACAACAGTTACAGTATCATGATTATGGATAAATAAGATAAAAGACATCTAATATAAACAAATTACATTTATTTTCAAATTAAATATCACAACATACATTTATCGTCCAGTCTAGTGTTTTTAAATATGACAGTGTATATTAAATTAAGCACAACTTGTATAGATTTATGGAGTAAAGCCTGACTGCTTCATTTTGGCATATATTTGTATACTATTACCATCTAATCAATCTCAGCATGCTTTAATTTTGTCGCTAGATGTTTGTGTCACTAAGGTTAAATTAAATCTTTCTTTGGTCTGCGATCTGGAAGCTAAACTTTAATTACTAAAACTAAAACTGAAACTATATAAAAACTAAATAGAAATGTGTTCACAAAATAAAAACTAAACTAAAACAAAACAAATTATTAATGAAACGAATAAAAACTAAACTGAATTTTACTGCAAATTTGAAAACGATATTAAAATAAAACAAATGTAAAAATTCAAAACTGTAATAACCTCGCTAGCAACCACTCAAAGCACCTTAGAAACCATTTAGAACACCATAGCATCATGCTGGCGGTGAGTTTTGCAAATGGCTTCAGAAAATGCCAATATCTAGTCTGTGGTTGAAACCTTTTTAATGGTCAGAAACAGCGAGCGAGAGACAGAGCTCTGGAACGAGTCCTGTTCTATTGGCTGTATGGCCTCATAACTCTGAAATGAGAAAGATGGGAAGGAAAAGGAGGAATCTACTTACAACTAATCTACTCCCTCACACGAACTCAAAGACACACACACACACAAAGCTGTGGAAAGTGTGTGAGGGGAGTGCGGTAAGTTAATAGCAGCAGAGGGAGTGACACAGTTTAATAGTTGAAGAGCTTCTGTGTCTTTCTCCGGAAGACTCAAATGGGAAGAGCATCACCTCTCGACAACACAAGAGTTAAACACTCCAGCTCTGTGTGTGTGTGTGTGTGTGTGTGTGTGTGTGTGTGTGAAGGTAAAAGGATCCGTCAGCTGGAATATAGACTTTCACATACCAAACACAGCTGCTCACAGCACAGTTCTCTTCTGTCCATTTTCTGCCTCTCACAATATTTGGTCTGCGTCTCTTTTATTTGAATGACAGAAAACAGGAGATACATGAACAAAACCTGATTATCATGTTCTCCTAAATGATGTGAGATGTTACAAAGAGCATCACATGATGGTTGACACTCATTTACTTACCTTGGATTTACTTAACATTTGTATTTAACATTAAAATGTTTTATTAAATTTGTGAAAAATCTAAATTAAAATAGAAAGCATGAATAATATAATATAATATACTGTTCAAAATTTGAGGTCAGTAAGATTTTTACTTTCCTCCAGCAAGGATACATTAAATTGATCAAAAGTGACAATAAAAACATTTATTATGTTACAAAAAAATATATATTTTAGTAAATGCTGTAATTTTTAATTTTCCGTTCATCAAAGAATCCTGAAAAAAATTATTGTTTTCAACAAAATAAATTACATTTTAAAATATATTAAAATAGAAAACAGTTATTTTAAATTGTAATACTATTTCATAATATTACTGTTTTTACTGAACTTTTTGAACAAATAAACGCAGACTTGGCAAGAATAAAAGACTTTAAAAAACATTAAAAAATCTTACTGACCCCAAACTTTTGAACCGTATTGTTGCATAAATATAGCTCTATTTATTTTTTGTCATGTATTACCTTATAAGTGCATGGTTAATGTCTGCATCTTTTCCGGGGAACAACTTTCTTCATCACTCTGCAATGTGTGAGAAATGAAAAATCTTTCCTTGACTAGTAGTAAAGAGTACAGAAAGTTTTTAATACATTTATATTTATTCATTTAGCAGACGCTTTTCAAGGTGACCAAGAAAAGATGCAAAATTCAATGAAAATGTATGCGATAAATCATATGGAGTCAACAATATTAACACTGCCGCAACACCACACAAAAAGTGCAAAACAGTACAGAAAAAACTTCATTTTGAACAACAGAAAGTGGCTTTTAGATGAAAGAGTTTGTGTTCCAGCCATTAATAGACAGATAAACCTCAGCTTTATTTGCAAAAATTAAACTATTAAATTAAACTCTTTGAAATCAGCAATAATAGGAATATTACCTGCAGTGACTGACTGTATACGAGTACAGGATCATGTACATCCGGTCGTTCATTATCACAAAATAATGGGTTTATTTTGCAGTGTAATAATAATACAGGGCATAACACGGCTGCTTACCAAATAAAAAAGTAAATGGACATGAAATATTGATTTGGGCTGAAATCATTACATGAGAAGAAAGCGAGAGTGGAATGATGTGAGAGACGTGATCGTGTCTGTGTGTGTTTACAGTGAATGGCGGCTGGTCCACGTGGACGGAGTGGTCGACCTGTAACAGTCGATGTGGGCGGGGCCTTCAGAAAAGAACCCGCAGCTGCACCAATCCTGCGCCTCTGAACGGGGGGTCGCCGTGTGACGGACAGGCCATCCAAAAAATCGCCTGCACCTCAGTTTGCACAGGTACCAGTCTAAAGAAATGAATCAGAGTTTAATTTGATGTGAATGAAAACGAAGCTTTGAGAGACAGAAATGCGTGTACCTGTGTGTTGAGCATTCAGCTGGGACAAAAATTAGTTGTGAAATTGTAATAATCTCTAACAGCCTTGTTTTTGTTTAAAATAATGTCAGAGTAATTTAATTGTATTTAATAAATAAAAAAATATTTTATTTATATTGAAATAAAATAAATAAATAAAATAGCGTCATAGTTATTCAATAGTATTGGAAACATTTTAAAATATTTTTTCATATTTTAAAAAAATGGAAAAAAATCATTTAATTAAATTACGTCATAGTAATGAATAGTATTTAATAAAGTAATATGTGACATATTGTATATATTAATAATTGTACATATATAATTGTTTCATGAATATAGTTGTATTTGTTGTTTGTCATTTATTATCTCATAAATATTGTAACTTAAAAGCATCATTTTAGAAAACAATAATGTATAATGATTATTCTATTATAAGAATATTCTATTCTTTGGGTGTAAAAAGAAACATTTAGATTTATTTTAAATAACCATGCCATCTACTTAGCAAATAATTAATCACTGCATTAATTCATTCCTATGTTAGCTTGAAAAATATTAAAAACTAAAAATGTGCAACAGATATCATTGGCTATAGTAAAGTGACATATCAAACAGTATCAAAAATATTATGTGTGTGTGTGTGTGTATATATATATGTATTATATATATATAATATACATCACATTTTTATATGAAGTGACAATAATCATAACAGTGTTATTTTAGTATTATTTATATACTAATACTAATATTTTATTTTAGATTTTAATTTAGATTTAATTAAGTTCTATTTTTATATTTTCACTTTAATTTTAGTTTACGTTTTGGTAATTTTGTTATGTGATTTTGTTGTATTTATTTGTTTTTGTTTTTTAACATTTCTATTTAGCTTTATTTTTATTTTAGAGTTAGGTTTAGTCATTTTAGTTCTTCATCTTAATTTCTTTTAGTCATCTTATTTCATTTAGTTGCCAGAGCAACATTTCTAATTTTCATTTAAGTTTCGGTTTTTCATTTAATATTTATATTTTATTTTATTTCAGCTTTCAACAACACTGAATCACAAATGGAGGTTTTCATAAAGATCTGAGTTTGTAATCATGATACTACTCTGGAACTTATTACAATATTTCCGACATGACGTAAACGCACAGTGAGGTCAGTTCTTAAACATGAAGGGAACACAATGAAGAATTTGGTTCAGATTTTTTCCTCGATTGACATTTATTCATTTGGCAGTTGCTTTTATCCAAAGTGACTTCCAAATGAAGAATTCCTTCCATAAACAGAAGGATGGAAAATTCACTGTGAGACTATTGAATTGTGAGGAATTCTTTCATAAAAACTTGATTCTTTTCCAGTCCAGTTTGAGTTCTTCACCTCTTGATAGCATCAGACAATGCATCTTTTTCCAGGCCCATCAGTTCAGCTTTCAAGCCAGACACTTCCCCTATACTTTGGCCCCTAGGGGCCCCTAAGGGACGAGCACATTTCCATTCCCTCCTGCCTGTGAGAGTCAGTTCACTGTGAAGCAGGTGAGATTAAAGCATCTGCAGGCAGCAGGAGAGATGCCACAGTCACGCTAATGACTGACCCACATACTGCAGCCACTCTCCTGTGACAGAATCCAGAGACAGGCCCAGAACCAGACTAGATCAGAGCAGAAGATGCATCATGTTTTATTTTATTTTATATGTTTTTTTTTATTTTATTTTGTGTTTTTTATGTTTATTTTATTTTGTTTTATTGTATTGTATTTTATTTTTTGTATGCAATATGCTTGAGGTGGTCCATGGCTGAGGCTTTTATTTCATTTTATTATATTGTTTTTATTTATTTATTTTTTTTAATTTAACTGAATTTGATATTTTAGTTATTTTAAATTTAATTTTGTTTTTTATAAAAAATTTTGTGCAGTGTGCATGAGGCAGTCCACGGCAGGGAATTTTTAGTAATTAATTAATCAATGTATGTATTTATTTATTTATTTACAGTTTTGAGTCATTTTGTGTCCAATATGCATGAGGTGGTCCATGATGGGGACCTTCATTTCATTTTATTATATTTATTTATTTATTTATTTTATTTTACTTTATTATTCTTTATTTATTATCTTATTTATTTTATCTTATATTGTATTAGTTTATTTTTGTATTATATTTATTATAAATATAAATATGTTGCATTATATTTATATATTATTTTTATTTATTTTTCAATTCAATTGCAAAATGCATGAGGTGGTCCATGGACGGGGGGTTTATTTTGTTTATTTAATTTTTCAGTTTAATTTCTGTGTGTAATATGCAAGATGTGAAATATTACTCATTTACACGTGCAAAGAAGTTAGCCATTCATAACATGGCTCATTAACATTTTAAAACGTGTGTGTGTGTGTTTCTGTGTGTGTGTTTCTGCGTGTGTGTGTGTTTAGTTGACGGTGAGTGGGCCGACTGGAGCAAGTGGTTGGCGTGTAACACTGAGTGCACGCAGTGGAGGAAGAGAGAGTGTAATGCTCCTACGCCTCAGAACGGAGGGAAGGACTGTGAGGGAGTCACGCTACAGTCACAGAACTGCACTGATGGACTCTGCCTACAAAGTGAGTGCACTTACACACACACACACACACACACACACACACACACACACAGTCAGGCTGGATCCCTTTACCGTCAACATGATGTCAGAATTGAATCTATTTACTTTCTTAAGACAAGTTCCCGGTCTTGTGTTTCTGGTATTATCTGTTATTTTTGTATTTTTGTATACTATTTATAGTTTTTGTATTTTTTATTATCTTTTATTTTTCTATTTTAATTTTAGTTAAGCTGTAGTAACTTTGTTAACTCAAGTCTTATGTGTTTTTGGCATTTTTATTATTTTTTTATTTATTAAGCTTAAATTTGTGTTTATTTCATTTTTAGTTTTAGTAATTTTAGTACTTAAACATATTTTTTTTATTTAGTTGACGAGGCAATTTTAATTGTTTATTTATATATTATTATAGTATTTATCATTTTTCAATTAGCTTTTATTTTTATATTTTCAATTTTTATTTGTTTTTATTTTATTTTAATTTTAGTTAAGTTTTAGTAAATGTATGTTTTTGTGATTTTCTTTATTCTATTTAGCTTTTAATTTATATTATATTATTTTCATTTTAGTTTTAGTAATTTTAGTACTTAGTACAGTTAGTTGACAAGGAAACATTTCTCATTTTCATTTAAGTTGCTTTAAGTTTGCATTCTAAAATTTATATTAAATTTTATTTCAGCTTTATTTCAACTAACAGATTTTATTTCAATTAAAATTATGAAATGAATAATAAATAATGATCCAAAGGGGGAAAAAGTTTTATTTTTGGAATCCTACATAAAACTTTCTTTACCTCTAAAATGTCTTTGCTTTTCAGTTGACGTCACCCAGGCTATTTTATTTTATTTTATTTCATTTCATTTTCAGTTGATGTCACCAAGGCCATGTGGGCTATTGGTTATCAACTCTGTTGTCATTGTTTTATTCATTGCAGCCAGTATTTTAATACCATATAACATGACAGCTCTGAAATACATCAGATTACAAAAGTTAAACTGATTGCAAATATTGTTTCTTGTTTACTTTAAAGCTTTTAGATGATTTGTTTATTGCTCCTGTACATAATGAGGCACATAAACATGGCCTTTCATGTGTTTCAATCACTGTCACAGTGGACACAGTGAGAATCTTTAAGAAACGGACAGGTGACATGAATGTGTGTAATCACAAGCCATCAGCATGGCAGTTTAATTTGTTTGCTGGTTTTTAGAGCAGTGAGCAGTGATAGAAAGAGAGAGAGAGAGAAAGACCTCTGTTTGGTGTTGCGTAATGGATCTCTCTCTCCCCGCAGGCACTTCCTCACTAAGGTTTCAACTTTAAAAGTTCTTCTGACTGATCCAACAAAGTTACAAAGTAACAAATTCAAGTGTGAGCAGATCAAAAAGATCACACAAAAGTCACACAAAATCAAGACCAATCTCGGAGCCCCAAAAATGTTACGGCCCATAACCATTTTAAGGCTCGTTAATTCAAACCATTCAATAAAACGACACAGGCCGAACATATTAAAAAGAATCACAACACCTGATGTGAATTTCAAGACGCCTCCATTTTATTAAATTTACAGAGTTCAACTCAAACATCCAGAAAATAATGAGCAACAATTCACAAAGAATATTTTATGAACAATCTAATAAATACTAACAAAAAAAGAATAATCAGCTCACGGGTAGGAAAGCTAGGAAAACAGACTCCTGACTACCCCTGTTCTCGGAATAAAGTTCTTACCTGACTCCCGAAATAAAAATAAGAACTGGTGAGTCTTCCGGACCCCTGCTTCCCTCGCTCTGTTCTTACTAAATAAACAAAACATGAACTAATAAATAAATACACTACCCGCTACTGATAAGTAAGAAAGTATATCACATATCAAAACACAAATTTACAAGTTAAACCTAAGCATAAAGAAAAACAAAAATATAGCCTCAAAGAGGCGATGAGAGAGATGCTTGTGAGAACAATGGGAAGCGGAGCAACAGAGAGAGAGACCGCCATTGTCGCCCTCGCAGCCTATTTATCCGGAATCCTTGATGACGTCACGCGACTCACAGAATGGGAAACCCCCACAACGCCACCTATGGGCTTAGAATATAAATGTCACACAGATACACGTAACACCCTTAAAAGTTGAGCAGGCACAATCCATTTAACCCCACTCAACTCTCTCGGCTCTCTGTCTTAGTCAGTTACAAAACCTAGTAAATACCTGCTTAGACAGCAGGAAAATTTGAGCAAGTCCTAGCCAGGGGTGCAACCAGATAGAAACGTCTCGGTTACATACGTAACCCTCGATCCCTGATGGAGGGAATGGAGACATTATGTCGTGACGACATTAGGGGTCTAACTTGGGAGCCCAATCATCTCTGAGTTTAAGAGAAAATGCCAATGAAAATTGGCTAGTGGATTTTGCACGCTGAGCCACTCCCCATGCACACGGGTATATAAGGCGACAACGCGCGTCCACTCATTAGGTTTCACGCTGAGGACCCGAGAACGTGTCCCCGCAACAGCAAGTGATTCAAGGTTGTGGCATGGGGACATAACGTCTCCATTCCCTCCATCACAGAATGAGGGTTGCGTACGTAAATGCGACGTTCCCTATCTGTCGGTCACTACGAGCTATGTCATGATGACATTAGGGGTCTATAGAAAATGCCACAACCTGAACACCATCACAACCCTGTGGCACTGAAAATTTTGACAAGCTATAGCGTGTCAAGACAAAGCTACGCTAAGGTCGTAACCTTCCCAAAGCCCCAGCGCAAATTCACTGACCTTGATACCAAATGGTGAGTACATCGCTGCTGGAGAATGTCATGCTGCTGTTCCATCCACAAAAAAGTTTTTGGAAGGGATTTCAACCTTCAGTGAAAGATTGCTTCAAATCTTTCCCATTTGTTCTTTTCAGCCTGGCAATGGGGAAGCGAGCCTTAAGGAAAAGGTGGCTACGGAGACCACATCCTACCCGTAGGGAGGTGACATGTGGAGATACTGATATGGACTGACCCAGGGGGCAGTACTACATATGGAATGGGTCTCTGAGGCAGGTCCTACCTTAGAGTAGGGATGGAACAACTGCCAGAAGAGACTGACAGAGCGGGTCTGTCAAGGGAAGACACGTTTACCGAGAGGGAAACCTTACTGTGGAAGAATACACATATGGGATTACCCGTAGGGAATCAAGCCATATGGACACCTAGCCCAGTACAGGGGCTGACCGGGACTCCGGGAATGCTAACACCAGTACTGGGCCTGGTGTCAGACTGCTCTGCCAAGTCTGACTGCCGGGGGTGCTGGAGGACGCTCGACCAGGGTTCGCCAACCGGGGAACTTTACTGGGAGAAGAAAGGCGCTCGCATCCCCGTGTGAGGGAGAATGGCGCAGCAAGCGTGACACAGAGCCAGGTCTTCCCACCAATTACCTGTTACCCAACACACGGGAAGAAACCGGCTCTACACGAAAATTGTAAAACCTTGCAAAGGTGTTAGGTGTTGCCCAGCCCGCAGCTCGACAGATGTCTGCCAGAGAGGCACCCCCAGGGGGCACGGCTCACCATGGGATTGGTACGCCAAGGCGATGACATCCACTATCCAGTGGGTCAACCTCTGCTTGGAGACAGCCTTCCCTTTCTGCTGACCTCTGCTGACCTCCAAAGCAGACAAGGAGCTGCTCAGAGCTTCTGAAGCTCTGGGTGTGGTCCACATATATGCGTAACACTCTTACGAGACACAGCAACACCAAGCCTGGATCAGCGCTTGCAGGTTCACCACCTGCTCCCGGAAGAGAGTTGTGGGAACCTTGGGCATGTATCCAAGCCAGGGTATCAGGACAAAGTGAGAGTAGGCCGGCCCGAAGACAAGGCACTCTTCCCTTACCGAAAATGCTTGGAGGTCCCTGACCCTCGAGATGGAAGTGAGCGCGATCAGGAGCGCTGTCTTAAGAGACAGGAACTTCAGCTCAACTGAATCGAGCAGCTCAATGTGACCCCTCTGAAGTCCAGCCAGGATGGGTATCAGGGGTGTCCTAGGAGGATTCAACCTTCTGGCACCCCTCGGGAACCTAACAATCAGGTCATGCTTTCCCAGGGACCGGCCGTCCCCTGCATCGTGATGTGCTGCGATGGCAGCAAAATACACTTTCAAGGTGAAGGGGGACATCCTACGCTCCAACCTTTCTTGCAGGAAAGAAAGCACGACTCTAATCGAGCTCCAAAGGCCAGGTCCGGGTGGGCCAGTAAGGCGCAACCAGCAGGACCTGTTCCTCGTCCTCCCTGACCTTGCACAGTGTCTGTGCGAGCAGGCTCACTTGGGGGAAATGCATACTTGCGTAGAGCCGGGGTGCCAGCTGTGTGCCAGTGCATCTGTGCCCAGGGGGGCCTGGGTCAGGGAATAGTACAGCTGGCAGTGGGAGGACTCGTGGGAAGCAAACAGGTCCACCTGAGCTTCCCCGAATCGACTCCAGATCAGCTGGACCATCTTGGGATGGAGTCGCCATTCTCTGGGAAAAGTGAGCTGTCGTGAGAGTGCGTCGGCCGCACGATTGAGCTCCCCCAGAATGTGGATGGCACACAGCGACTTGAACCGCGTCTGACTTCAGATGAGGAGATGGCGAGGGTCAACCTCTGCTTGGAGACAGCCTTCCCTTTCTGCTGACCTCTGCTGACCTCCAAAGCAGACAAGGAGCTGCTCAGAGCTTCTGAAGCTCTGGGTGTGGTCCACATATATGCGTAACACTCTTACGAGACACAGCAACACCAAGCCTGGATCAGCGCTTGCAGGTTCACCACCTGCTCCCGGAAGAGAGTTGTGGGAACCTTGGGCATGTATCCAAGCCAGGGTATCAGGACAAAGTGAGAGTAGGCCGGCCCGAAGACAAGGCACTCTTCCCTTACCGAAAATGCTTGGAGGTCCCTGACCCTCGAGATGGAAGTGAGCGCGATCAGGAGCGCTGTCTTAAGAGACAGGAACTTCAGCTCAACTGAATCGAGCAGCTCAATGTGACCCC